AGTACTTGAGCTCGCTGTCCTAGAGTTGCGTTATTTGTTAGTGTCTGTTCTTGCTTGTCATTGTTGCTCAAACTGACCAAGTTTGCAGTCTTCCATTTCTCATCCCAGGAGCCTCCAGGCAGCTCTTTGACAGCAATTCTGCACTTAATGTAGTGATCGATAACAGAATTATGTCGATGCTTGCGATTATGGACTATATGTAACTATATATGTCATTCTAATTTGTTCTCTGATGCAGGCTGAAAACTCCAACTGTGACCACCAGAAAACCGAGCGACATCCATTTCTGAAAGCCGAGGAGATCTAGACCCATCAAACCTCGCATTCGAGCCAATCACGGCCACAGTACTTTGTAAGGAGCATTGTGAGTAGTTTGGGGAGATGCGACGATTGGAACACTGTTCAGAATCGTGCGAATCAAACACTACAAACAGACGTGTTGAGGAGTATCCACCACATGACATCATGCACAAACTTTGCTCACAACCATTCAAGTTACAGGTGTGCTCAGAATTGATGCAGATGCATCAGGCTCTACTTATTCCTGAAATCCTCTGGGAGATATTCGCGCAAGTGAATCAATTATATATATCAACATCATTGATTCGGAAAACCACTGCTGCACTTGCGGCAACATGCAAAGCCTTCTACGAACCCGCAATGGATTTGCTGTGGGCTGAAATATATGACTTGACACCACTGCTAGGCTGTGTGACGAGGTTACATCCACTGATATATCATGGTGATAGCGATCGATCTGTGAGTTATATTCATTTCTTTTCGTTCATTGGCTGACTGAATATCTAATTAGTATTGCTTCGATTGGGCAGAAAATGTTGAACCATTATCTGCACATGAGGCCCGTCAATTTTTGCGTCACTCTCCCCGTGTTCGCACATTAACAATATCATCACATTGTGTTCTCAAACTTCTCTGCGTCATCCCTACCGGGACATGCATCTTCCCAAAGCTGAAGTCATTAACGTGGAAGCTTTCCACTGTCAAATATCTTAATCTATTCCTTCCCCACACGCTGCGCCAATGTTATATAATGTCTGTCAATGAACTGCAACCTATTGTGACCTGTTGCACTGCTTTGGAGCTGTTAGACATCGGAACCCCTGATAGGAGCACCGCCAATGAACTGTCCCTACTGTCTAACAGTGTCTGTTTGTGCAGGAACCTCGTAACTCTGTCATGTCCACCGCTCGACTGGGCAGCATGGAAGCACCTTTCCAACCTCCACGCCCTTCGCTCATTGACGATTGATGAAGGGCGTATCCCTCCTCCCTGGTCATTAGAACAGGGTGTCATCGATTTCTCTCCATTCCTTAACCTCATAGCTCTCTCCTTCCGGTTACACAGTGCTGCGTGCAGTATAAGAATCTTGCACTACTTACAATTTCCCTCGTTGAAAAAGTTGTTCATCAGTCTCGATGTTCTATCTTCGGCAGAGGCTGAGCAACTTTTTCGTGCGCTATCCAACTGCAAAGCGTGCCAGACCTTGGAAGAACTCACCATTATCTTGAAGGACGAAAATCTGGCGCCCCGGGGCAATTCTCTGACAGTGATTCCACATCTCCTTTGCTTCACACAGCTTCGAAGCCTGTCGCTCTTTTGTCACGATACTTTCATCCACCTCGATGATGACCTTCTGGTAGAAGCCATATCATCTTGGCCGCACATCCACAGTTTGAAAATAGAGGACTCGGGTTTTCGCACTTCTCCCGTTACATTCCGCGCATTATTCACAGCCCTCCGTCTACGTCCACAGTTATATTCGCTACGAGTTGCAATCAATACTGCGGATCTTGATATTGATATTGATGCCGAGCCAATACTACATAGCTCCCTGAAAACTTTATGGTTGGAGCCATCCGAGCTTTTAACAGCACATCCTGAAGCTGTTGCTCGCACCGTTTTCACTTGGTTCCCTTGCATTAACTATATTTTCGGGTCTTCGGGCGACGAATGGAATGAAGCCAATAGGCATCTCGAATCTTTGAAAGCTGCTACGCCGCATGTACGTGTAACAGGAGCTGCCTCGAGTACTTGAGCCTGCTGTTCTGGAGTTGCTTGTTAGTGTCTGTTCTTGCCTATTGTTGTTACTCATACTAACCAAGGTTGCAGTCTTCCCTTTCTCATCCCAGGAGCCTCCAGGCGGCTCTTTGACAGCAATTCCACACCCTCTTTGCTTCACTCAGCTCCGAGACCTACGTTTCATCTATAAAGATCATTTCATCTACTTCGACAATGGCTTTCTTTTGGAAACCAAATCAGGTTGGCCGCATAGCTGCAACCTAGATTCATATCTTCATCCTTCTGTTACCTTCTGCGGATTATTCGCAGTGCTCCGTCGATGTCCACACCTGCGTACGCTGCAAACTGCAGTCGATATTGATTCTGACGTTGAACTAATACAGTATCCCTACTAATATGAATCTCCGATACTAAATACTGAAGCTCTTGCTTGTAATTCTCTCGTGGCTCCCTGCGTCAATTCGAATACGTGAGTTGGGATATCCATAGCCGAAAAGCTAGTAAGAAGACATAAGTAGTTGAAAATTAACAAGTTCAATTAGATCGACGTACACGGGTAGAAACATCCACACGAACCAAACACCATAAATAGACATGTTTAGGACTGGGATGGATATCTCTGCCAAAAATTGAAAGATGGGGAAGATGGCAATAAATAGCTATCACAAAGATAAAGTACGATCTCTAAGATGTGGTCCATTTGGGTAGCTGAACCATTTTCTCTGTTTGTAACAGCACACGAAGAAGAGGATAGATTGTCTACAAATGATTATTAAGCGAGACGAAAATGATGCGGACAATGACACGTACCTCAGGCGGCCACCAGAAAGCTCAGCAACATTAAACACTACAAATGAACATTACCTGGTGGAGGATAATCTGACAGACTATTATGGCATCAATAGTACAAGATGCACGTGAAGTCCCTGCGATCAAGAACAAATAAACAACAATAGCTGGCATTGGCATCGTCGACCCCTAGTGTTTAGGGCCGGAATGGAGTTTTCAGATTGAGACCATAACACTACAAAACCCACCACATTGAAGTTGAAATTACTTGCATCAGCTTGCTTAGAATTGATGCATCTGGCTCTACTTATTCCTGAAATCCTCCGGGAGATATTCGTGCATGTGAGTCAAACATATGTATTAGCATCACTTGCTGCCCTTGCGACAACATGCAAAGCCTTCCATGAACCTGCGATGGATTTGCTGTGGGCTGAAATACATGACTTAACACCACTGTTAGGCTGTGTGACAAGGTTACATCCACTGATATATCATGGTGATAGCGATCGATCTGTGAATGCAAACTAGTCGTGTTATATTCATTTCTTTTCGTTCATTGGCTGATTGAATATCTGATTAGTATTGCCTTGATTGGGCAGAAAATGTTGAACCATTATCTGCCCATGAGACCCGTCAATTTTTGCGTCACTCTCCCCGTGTTCGCACATTAGCAATATCATCATATTGTGTTCTCAAACTTCTCTGCGTCATCCCTACCGGGACA